CTTGCACTCTATTTTCAATCTTTTTAAAAAAAATCAATCTATTTTTCAAAATGTTTCTGTAACATTGGGGGTTGCAGACTGCCAGAAATAGTGCAAATTGAGTCCACTTTTAGGGTTAGGGTTAGTGCTAGGAAATCACAGGAATTGTTTTTTTTTTTTTTCCTGAGACATTGAGCCTTCTCTGTCAGAGAGCTCTGGTGCCACAATAAAATACAGTTCCCATGATTCCCTAACCCTAACCCTAACTCTAAAAGCAGTCTGCAACCCCCATTCTCACTCTTTAAAGGGCATACAGAGAATAGAATCATAGCTGTCTGTCTGCAGCCATACAACCAGTGCTTTTAAAGCCATGTTTTTTTCATACTGAGTATCCATTCACACATCACCTCCAACCCATTTGAATATTCTATTTTAAAACGTATGTTACTTTCTTCTTTCTGGAGCTACTCATTCCCCATTCCCTTCATCTCTTGTCCTCTCCGAGACATACTTTGAACAGCAGGCAGAACCCAACCAGCTGATAAACCCCTGAAAGAGTAAAGATATGCCAACAGAGGCAAGTGGTTTAGATATGCAGCTTTAATAGAAGCAGATAAAACAAGGGGGTGTCTGGTTCCCTGGGTTCACCAAAGTGAACAGGAATGACTCAGTAGAATATGCAAAAAATGTGTGTTATGAAAATATATGCATGCATTTAATTTAAATATTACATAAACATCTATTTTAAGATCAGTGCTTGGAAAACTGCTTTTAAAAAACAATCTGTTACTGTTCTTTGCTATAATGTTTGTCAAGGAATTTGTTAGTATTAGTCACTAAAGCAGCAGCTGGTCATCGTGTCAGCAGGGTCCTGTCTCTGCTTTGGCTTTTAATCCAAACTGCAAGGAATTATGCATGTTATTAAAACCTGTTCCCAAATAAGTTGAGCACCTTGGATAAATCCTTAAAAGGTCAGAGTACATTTCTGAATGGCTTCGATCAACCCATTGACATGAGAACCAACAGCAACACCTGCTCATTACCATTTTAATAAAGTAGCTTGGATTGTTTTCATTGCACTGGTTGATACTTTATTATTCCTTTTGGAAAACACACACACACACACACACACACACACACACACACACAAGATTGAGAAGAGAATTACATAAAAATGTTTTAAATTCCTGTCTAAATGACTTGAGTAATGAACCAGTGTAGTGTAGTGGTTTCAGTGCTGAACTGGAAGACCAGAGTTGGAGTCCCCATTCTGCTCTGGAATCCCACTGGGTGACCTTGGGCTAGTTACACTCTCTCAGCCACAGAGGGAAGCAATGGCAAGCCCCTCTAAATAAATCAGGCCAAGGAAACCTCAAGATTGATTCATCTTAGGGTCACCATATATTGGAAATGCCTTGAACAACAACAACAATAACAATGGCAAGGGGCTGTTTTACACTACACAATTATAGCCCTATATTTTACGTTGAGTATTCTTAGAAATCGTTATATATTACACTGATAAACCAATGCTATTGTTATTACTCTTGCCAGGGATGATACACATTGAGCATTGGTACTACCTAAAAGGTAGATGACATAATAGCAAATTGATCTCTTCCTCAGCAATGGAAATTCACTGCCTTGCAGTCCAGATATTTTGAATGTGTTTTCCTTGACAGGAGTCCCACATCCTTCAGGTTAGTCATGGAAAGATTAAGACAACACTCCTGAAAGTTACCATCACATTTTATGCTTGGGTAAGACACAAAAGACCATGTGCCTCCCAGCATTGGATATAACCCAGATATCATTTCCACAAACTAACATCAAGCTATATTGCACATATTAATCATAATGGAGTGTGGATGCCAAGGATATGTTCTAGCTTAGGGAAGAACTTTGATTCACTAATTACTACTAGAGAAATGCTGAGAGTTATTTATTATTAGACACACAACCAGGAGGAGGAAAAAGTCCACAGGACCTAGCATTTTCTTAGTGCCAAGTGCTGAAAAATTTCAATATCTTGCAGAGCTTCAGAAGGCTGGTACTTCAAAATTTGGTCCTAGAGTCACTCGAAAACAGTTGATTCAGCCAGTAAATATTGGAGAGGCTATTCTTCTTTCTAATCTGAAACTGATTTAATTGGTATCACTGATATTCCAAATTCCCTGTAAACCAGCCTGTCAAAATATTTGCAAAGAACACTGCAAAATGAGGCAAGAAGGGGCTCTGAAGAAACCCTTAGGGTCTGAAGTCAGGAAAGGTTATGTTCAGTTGGTGATGTGTGCCTTCAAGTTGCTTCTGACTTACAGTGACACTCATGGGGTTTTCTTGGCAAGATTTGTTCAGAGATGGTTTGCCATTGCTTTCTCCTAAGAGTGAGAATGTGTGACTTTCCCAAGGTCACCCAGTGGGTTTCTTGGCTGAGCAGGAAATCAAACCTGATCTCCAGAGTCACAGTCCGACACTCAAACCACTACACCACACTGGCTCTCATTCAGTTGCTAAAGGAGGCAAATTGAGCAAAAGAAGTGGAATGAAGTACATACCCTCCAACAGAGGAAAATCATGGCACATGTGGCCAAGCAACATCAAAGATGGTCAAGATGGCAAATGTTATTAATGAGGAAGCACACACAAGATAGCAAGCATTTCATAGCCTCTCATGATCTATGCAGTCAAAGGCTTTGCTATAAGACACATGCTGATCAGCATAAGACACATGCTGATTTTTGGAATTTCTTGCTGAGTTCCATTATACACTGTATGTTTGCAATGTGGTCCCTAGTGTCTTTTCCTTTCCTGAAACCTGCTTGGACCTCTGGGATTTCTCTCTCGCTTCTTACTTTCTTTTGCCATTGATTTCCACTCTTTCAATTTCAGGTTTTCCTGATCAAAGAGTTGTAGTGAGATGCCAAACTTGAGTCATTGACTTACACTGATGAAATCAGTTGTGATTTCTTCTTTTTTAGTATCTGGGAGGTATCTTGTTGGTCACGGTGCATTCGGGTGGTCAGTCAGGGTATATCTACACAGTAGACATAATGTAGTTTGACCACTTTAAGTGTTGTAGCTCCATCCTGTGAATCCTGGGATTTGTAGTTTTACATGGTTTTTAGTCTTCTCTGCCAAAGAGTGCTGGTGCCTCACAAAATTACAAATCCCAGTATCCTTTAGGATGGTGGCATGGCAATTATAGTGGTGTCAAACTGCATTATATCTACAGCGTAGATGCTCCCTCAGTGGCTGGGGCAGAAAGCTGAGCTTGGGCATCATCAAGGCACTGTTGTGAACCTGTGGAAGGAAGAGCTGCCATTACTCTCTGGACAGCGTAGGTATGCTGAAGGTGCTTTACACTCTGCTAGTACTCGTACATGATTGATATAGCTTTCTAGAAATAATAATCATGAATGTGTGTGTGTGTGTGTGTGTGTGTGTGTGTGTGTAAAGGGTAAAGGTATTCCCCATTGACAAGGTTGTCAAGTCGTGTTCGACCATAGGGGGTGGTGCTCATTTCCATTACTAAGCTGAAGAACCAGTGTTGTCAGAGACTGCTCTGTGATCATGTGGCCAGCAAGATTGCACAGAACGCTGTTTACCTTAACAGCGTTCTGTGAAACCATGCTGACCACATGATCATAGAGTAATCTCTGACAATGCTGGCTCTTCGGCTTAGTAACAGAGATGAGCACCATCTCCTATGGTCAAACACGACTTGACAACCTTGTCAATGGGGAATATCTTTACCCTTTACCTTTATATCATTTTGGACAAATTTAAGCCATCACTGGCAGCCATCCAGTTATTACTGTTTGCATTTGGAATATTTAAGCAAACACACTGAATTCATCATGTTCAACATTCATTAATAAAATCATTAACTGGGGAAGCATGAATCACCAGCATATATGTGCTTTGTGTTTTGTTGGGGTCTCCATGGTGAAGAGTGTCTCTGCAATATTTTGGTTATGAAGAATGAAAAAGAAATGTGGATGGAGGGCTTACTGAACAGCTGGTGTTGCCAGCTTGTCAAACTCCATAAACCTGCTGTTATGAACGATGACAGCTCAGCGATCACAAGGTAAAATGTCAGTTTTGGCACAGTTATTAGATGTTAATTCTTTGAGTGTGTCTCAGATGTGAGGCCTGGTGCTCACCATAAAAAAAAAATCTGAGATGGAAACATGACAGGTCCTAAATTATTTTCCTGCTCAGGGTAGATAGACATTGCCTCTCCTTGTAATTCTGCCTCATAAATTTTAACAGCATGTGTTTGCTGATGTTCTTAAAGTAAAACCCACCATCCAAACCAGACTGTGTGATCCTCCTCCTGAAATCCTTACACTCTCTTGCTTTCCTGTCTTCAATACAATTTCTTCTCTCAAAGCTCTCAGTGGCTTTATTGCACTACCTTATCTTCTCTTTCTGGCCTGAATCCTATTGGTTAGTTGCTACTAGAGTAATTTCATAGACTCAGTGGGTGAATGGTGAGTCAACATCTAGGCAAGTAACACTAATTCAGTGGACCTGTTCTTGTTAGAACCATTATGCCTCTGTTTCTTAATAAAACCCTGATCTAGTATCCTCCCTACCGGAAGGCTGCTCACCTAAATGTAAAGCCCTCCCAATTACTTTTGGACTACAGATCCCAGAATCCTGTGGAGTGAGTTGGGGATTCTAGGAGTTCTACTCCCCCCAAAATAAATTTTGCTCTGTGAAAATCATTCTGCCTTTTCACCCTTGTCACTTCCTATGCTGGTATGCAAAGGCATTTTGAAGCACCTTTGAGATTAGCAATTGTATCATGAGCTTTTGTAGACTTGGTCTGCTTCCTCAGATGCATGGAGTGAACAGATGCCCAGGAAGGACTTTTACGTGTGTTGTATGCCTTCAAGTCATTTCTGGCTTATGGTGACCGTAAGGCAAACCTATCATGGGGTTTTCAGAGGAGGTTTGCCATTGCCTTCCCCTGAGGCTGAGATAGTGACTTCCTCAAGATCACCTAGTGGGTTTCATGGCTGAGCCAGGAATTGAATCCTGATCACCAGAGTCGTAGTCTAACACTCAAACCACTATGCCATGCTGGCTCTCTGAGGACCTTTATATACTATATGAATGTATGGAAATGAAAAACTTGTGGGTATGGTGATGAAGTGACAAGTTTGTGGCCATTGTTGGTTGTTGAGTAACAAAAACAAGAATAAAGATGTTCCCTAAGACCGGAATGGATAGATGACCATATGAATGGTGGAGGGAGTTTTGAAATGTGGTGTGTGCATGTTGGAAACCAGAAAGGAGATGAACCTGTCACCTCATCATCATACTCACAAATTTTACATTTCCATGGGTATTCATACAGTCTGATCATAAAGGTCCTTCCTGGGCACTAGGTCACTCCATGCATTTGAGGAAATAGACCAAGTTTATGAATGCTCATGCTAGAACTTCTTTTGGATAGTTAGTCAAAGGTACTACAAGATCCCTTTCAATACTCATATTAAACAGGATGGAACAGGGTGTTAGGAACAGTAATCCATAAACATCTGGAGGACAAGAGGTTCCCTGCACTTGTTTTATCTTTAGAAATAAAAGAAGCTGCCTTATAGCCGATGGTGCAGGGATGCAGCTCCTAGGTGCATTTGCAGAGTTGGGACAACAGTGTTGTTGGTCAGAGTGCCAGGATAATTCAAGTATCTTGATCTCGTTGTTGTTGTTAGCTGCCTTTGAGTCAATCTTGTCTCATGATGACCCTGTGAATGAGACATCTCCAAGCCCCTCTATCCTCTACCTCTCTGCTCAGGCCCTATAAACTCAGGCCCATGGCCTCCCTGAATTGAGTCTATTCACCTGGCAAGCAGTCTTTCTCTCTACGTTCTCCACCATCGTTGACTTTTCTAATGAGTTGTACCTTGTTATGATGTGGCCAAAATACGACAACCTGAATTTAATCATCTTGGCTTCTAGGGAGATTTCAGGCTTTATCTGTTCTAGGACTCAATTGTTTGTCTTTTTGGCCATCCACAGTATCCTCATACATTCAAAAGAGATATGTTGGCAAATTAATTGAATTGCTAGTCTCATGTAGAGTAGACCCACTGGATCAATGGAAGGTGCATATTTTATTCACCAAATTCCTACCAAGTCAATAAATCCCTTTTAGTTGGGACTTTCAATTGGATTTAGGCCATAGTCTATGTGTATAACTGTCTATCCATCAATCCATCCATGCATTCAAGGTGGGTGGAGGCTTCCGTGTCAATAGGACTGCAAATCATAGAATTGTAGTTTTGGAAGGGGTCTCATGGGCCATCAAATCCAATCCTCTGCTCAATACAAGAAGCTGTACAGTCTTTTTCTGAAGACATCCAGAGAAAGTGACCCTTGCATTCAATGCCAAAATTGTGCAATGAAAAAAAAAATACAATTGTATAGCCAAATGTAAAGCTAAAAGTCATGTGTGTTTCAGGCACATAAATGCACATCCATTTGCAGCTGTTGCTGCATGCACATCTACAAGTAAAACATCACCACGTGCATATGTGCACAATGGCATGACCTAGGCAACCCCTACTTCTGTAACATTGAATTGCACATGTCAGATATGTGCCAAGCATTACAATAATGCATTATTATTATTCTATTTATTTATTTAAATTCATTTGCAGATTTGATTGTGCAGTGTTGCAATTCACCAATGCACAATTATCACAGTACTCCATGAGTGTAAATTTACATTCCATCTCCTTGAGGTAGGAGTTCATTAAATGGACCTCTGGACACTTTCTTTGTGGGGGAGGCCTTTTTTACAGTCTCTTGTCACTGGAGTGTCTCACAGGCAGAAAATGAGTCTCTGGTCCTGGTTTGGACAATCTCCAAGGAGCGCCTCTTGATTTCAGATGATCCCAGTTCATAGTTGGTTGAACAAACAAGATTATCATCTCCTATTTTGTTTTGTTTTGTTTTCCACTCTAAGCTCAGCCACTTTTGCTGATCCTATTAGCAGATCATGGTGAGAGCATCAGTGTATTCCAGCAAAGAGGATTATCCTTTGCTTGCCTATTGGAGCTGAGAACAAAATAAGGATATTAAATCTTCTTGAAACTGGACACTAGCAGAGCTCCCAACAACTAAGCACATTTATGTTTTTATTAGCAGTCTCAATAACCAGCTGTCTGGAATTAAAAGAGCTGAAGCGGGGGTGGCAGAATAATCAATCTCTTGATCTTTCTTTGATATCAGAACTGCAACTCTTGCAAGGGATCAGATCTGATATCCCTGTGTGCTCAGCAACTCTTGTTCCTATAAACAGCCCAAGTCCAAAAATTGGAAAAACACAAAATTAGAAATGTGGGGGTCATGTGGGGGATAAGTTCTCTTACTCATGTGGTTGCACTTTTTTTGCCTTTCTACATCACCAGATCTTGTCTGATCTTGGAAACTAGGCAGGGTCAGCTCTGGTTAGTACTGCAATGGGAGACCACCAACGAACACCAGGTGCTGTAGGCTCTATTTCAGAGGAAGGAACTGACAAAATAACTTCTGAGTATTCCTTGCCTAAGAAGATCCTATGAAACTCATGGAGGTCACCATAAGTTGACAGGCAACTTGAGGGCATATACATGAATACATACAGTTCTGAATAACAATCAGAGAAGAGCTGCTGAAATATGCTGGAACGGGCACTTATCTCTGCTTCTTTAGCAATATTCCTGTCCCACTATCACTGTGCATAAATCAGATTATCTCAACACATCACCAGTTTCCTGCATTTATTTCTTTATATCCCTTTATTTTTTTAGTCAAAGTTTGCTCCTTCCCTGACATTATCACCACAACAACTCTTTGAGATAGGATTGAGAGACAATGATGAATCCAATAGGTAAGGATTTGATAATGAATCCAGATCTGGCCACACAATCCCGCTATACCATCACACTGAATCTCTAATCCACATCTAAAATATGCAACTGCTATTGTATTCACCATTCAACATATGGTCACCTGGATTGTTGCTAAAGGGAGCACTCTTAATGGGATATACATTTAGGTTAGTGGGAGCTGGTGCTTTCCATATTGGTGTGTGTGTATCTGTCTGTCTCTCTATCCTGAATTGGCTCAGGATTTTAGCCTGAACTTTAAAATAGCTATCCAATGTGTTGAATGCTAGCCCTAAGAAAGGTTCAGCACCTTGGACAGCGGTGTTAACATTCAGATATAAATCCAGAATACAGGAAGCTCTCACTTATCTGACAGGTTAGAGACCGGAGGACTGCCAGGAAGTGAAATTAGTTGAAAAATGGAATCCAGGTATGTCTGGGTTTTTTAAAGCTTGAAAATGCATTTTGGCTGCCAAAAAATGTAAATAACACACTTTTGAATGTATGCAAATGCTAGATATATACACAAAACTAACTAAAGTAAAATAAACAAAAACTTACCTTTAATATTCTGCTCTGCTCTGTATATTATTGTATATATTATTATAAGTGCATTATTTTACTGTAAAGAAAACTCCATGATAGGTTCACCTTGGGATCACCATAACCTGGAAATGATTTGAAGGCACACAACAACAACAACAACAATAACATATATTGTATTATACTGTATACGTATTATAAGCACAAATACTGCACAGTAATAGTATAAGAGACACATGGGCCACAATCTCAGAAGCACCATGGACTAAACACAGATTAAAGGAGCAAAGATGGTATGCAGTCACGGAGACAGGGGAAGAAAGATGCATAGCAACACTCAGTTGCAAGTGAACCTCAGTAGTTGACTTGGTGCATTTTCTCAGCTCACTTTGCAAGCAGTGTTCATGTATGCATGCAAGCACTCCAAAGCAAGCCTCCATAGTAACAACTGGCAAAGTTCTGCTGTTTCCACACTTGCACATTACATGGATCAGTTCCATTAATTCAAGGAGGGGTACGCTCTTTAGACAAACATTGGGACTGTACATGTGCACATGTGGTCCAAAGCAAGCCTCCTAACCAGGAAAAACTGACACAAAAGCAGATCCCTCATCAAATTAATGGAACTTGTCTGTAATTTGTAAGCATCTAAAGAGTGAGTCATTAGAAAGTGCATGGTTGAAAGGGAGGGGAAAGCTATAGATTCATTGCCTCACTGATATGGCATCTACCAGTGGCCACTGATGTAGTCCTAGTGTGTTTCTTGCCTCTGTACATTAGCCATCTTAAATACAACAGCCCAAAGGGGAGTTCTGGTTTGGTATTAACTGTCCTCAAGTCAGCCTCAACTCATGACAATCCAGTGTCCTAAACTGTTCTGCTCAGGCCCTGGAGATTCAGGTCTGTGATCTCTTTGATTGAGTCTATCCATCTGGTGTGAGGTCTTCCTCTCCTTCTACTGCCCTTTACTTTTCCCAGCATCATTGTCTTTTCTAATGAATTATGCCTTCCCATGATGTGGCTAAAATGACACTTTCAACTTAGTTATCCTAACTTCCAGGGAGAGTTCAGGCTTGATCTGTTTCTAGAAACCATTTGTTTATCTTTTTGGCCATCCAAGGTATCCTCAGCACTCTTCTCCAACATCATATCTCAAATGCATTGATTTTCTTTCTGTAAGCTTTCTTCACTGTCTACCTCTCACATCCTTACATGGGGATGGGGATGGCTTGGACCAGGGACTGGCAACCTTTTTGAGACCTGGGCCGGTCTCCACTAGCC